AGCTGATGACGGACTCAAAAACCGTTTTCCACTGGCTGACAGATACCCTGTCAGGGAAAGCGCGCCTCAAAACCAAAGCGGCGGGCGAGATGTTGATACGGCGAAGATTGGAAACAATCAGGGCAACGGTGGAAGAATACAACTTGAGCGTGACCGTGCAATACGTCATGTCGAAGGAGAACCGAACAGACGTGCTCACCCGAGTGCCGCAGAGGTGGCTGTCTCCGGCGGCGGATGACAGCGTGACGGCGGTTGGTGATGACGTCGTGGCTGCCGCTGACGTGACTGCAGTAGCAGCAGAAGATGACGTCGACGTCGAGGAGATGATCCGTCGCATCAATCACAAAACAGGGCATCCCGGTGTGCGACGGACTTACTACTTCTGCCGGAGAGCCGCCCCATCGGTCACCAAAAGTCAAGTACGAGCGGTGGTACGGCGGTGTGAACAGTGTCTGTCCATTGATCCAGCTCCAGTCCAATGGCAGAAAGGGAATCTAAGCGTATCTGGGTCGTGGAAGCGGCTGAGTATGGACATCACTCATGTGGGAGCGCATCAGTACCTGACTCTGGTGGACAACGGACCGTCCTGCTTCGCAGTGTGGCGACAGCTGCGGAGACTAGACATTGCCGCTATCATAGAACAATTAGAACAGCTCTTTTGTGAGCGTGGACCACCAGACGAGATACTTACTGACAACGCGGCTTCTTTTCGGAGTCGCGCCTTCATAGCCTTCGCCGAACGATGGGGCGTCGCGATGAGGTTCCGGAGCGCATACCAGCCGTCAGGAAATGGGATCGCAGAGAGGTGCCATCGCTCAATCAAACGAACCGTAGCCCGCACGGGCTGTTCAGTGCAAGAAGCTTTGTATTGGCACAATGTGACCCCCAAAGACGACATCAACCCTGAAACAGCACCGGCCAATGCGTTGTACAGATACGAAGTCAGACTGCGCGGGATCGATGCCGGTGCATGCAACCCCGGAATCGTAGCGTGCCGGTTTGGGGTCGGTGACCGTGTCTGGGTGAGAGATCCGACACGCCGATGTGACGCACAAAGCTACATTGGCACAGTCACCAATGTGGTGTCTCCACAAGCAGTTGACGTGGACGGTATACCCCGTCACGTGCGTGACTTACGACCAGTTGCTGCCTGCGACAGCCAGCGGTCAGCGGCAGAGGATGAGCTGGGGGGAGCAGCGGCGGATGAGGAGGAACCATGGCTCGTGCAAGTTTCTGTTCGACAACCAACGCTGGATGTGAGCGAGAGCACAAACGAAGATATGAGGGCGCCCAGTCACGAGCTGATTGAGACGCCTGAGCTTGAGCAGAGTGGGACCGAGCCTGACCAAGAGGACCGGCAACAGCCTGTCCACGAGCCATTGGGAAGAGGACGTCGCGTAACAAGGCAGCAGACTCGATGCAGAATGTGTACCTGAACCACAGTTGAGATGATCGGAGATCAGGGGGGAGTGTATGAGTTAGAAGAATATTTGTGTTACGCTATAGTTTGTGAGAGGTGCCACAGTCTATATTTAGAAAGACAGCTAATGTGCGGCGCTTACAGAAAAATAGTGCGAGAAATTGGACTGATAAGAAAATTGATTTAAAAATCCGACAGGGAGAAGAGGGGAAAGAAACGAGCAGAGAGGAGAAGAGAGATAGAGAGAAGGGGAGAGCAGGGAGAGAGATAGAAAGAGGGAGAAGAAGCAAAGAGATAGAGGGAGAGAGATTTGAAGAACACGTCTTTTCAACGTGTAATTACTTACCTTGTTTTGTACAGAATTTTGTCGTATTCGTACTCGAATAGACATTTTAACTAACGCAAAAGTGTCCTTTATAATCCATCGCCAACTACAGGTTCAACTGTTGAAGTCATAGGATATGTTATAGGTTATATTTGTAGTTTACAGGCTAGTGCGCCTAAGTTTGGAATCTGGCCGTAGTGCCATTGGATTATGAATTATGTGTCATGAACGATGGCTTAGTGAGCCTATGCATTGTGTTATGGTGGAAGCGCCTCATGGATAGGACAAGGAACAGAGAAGTGTTTATGTGTTTGGAAAGATATATTGTGTCATGCTTTTAATGGACAGAGGACCATTTATATGAGACTGTAAAGTCATATTTAAACCCAGGTATATTAATGATAATAAATCGTTAAGCGGACTGACTCTGGGTGTAAAGAAGCTATTTTTCCCTGTACTTCGACCTTTATTGACAGGTCTTCAAAGGGGCAATGCGATTCAAAAAACAAACAATAATCATGCTATACTGCCATCCACGAAATTCTCAAAATGATCGATGCTTAAACACGTGACACAACTTACAGACAGTTCGTACTCCAGTAGGTCTACTTTTTCAAAACACTATCCCATATAGGGCTAAGCGAGAACTTTCCGACACCCTGATTCAGTGATGGGTTGCATAATCGAATCTCGATGGCCTCCCTTACGACACGGCGGGACCATGTTGGCTCGACCGCCAGCGTGCTAGCCTGACCTGGGTCAAATGGTTGGCGACACTGGAGCCAGTGTTCAGCTAAAGGGGATGTGTCTGACCTCCCATGCTTTATGGCTGCTACGTGTTCTTTAAGTCGCATGCTTTTAGGACGCCCGGTCTCGCCAACATACGTGGCACCACAATCACAAGTAGTCTTGTAAATGACACCTTTTTGCAAATCCTTTGGTGGTACGTCCTTGGCTTTAACTAGTTTGTCCCTGAGTGTTGGCTTCGAGCTATATCCTAACCGAATCTGGTGGGGCGCTAAAATCCTAGCAACTCTTTCGCTGGTTCCTTTGACGTAGGGGATGCTAATGTACGTAGTACGGGGTTGTTCGGTTGTCTGGTCGTCCGGTACGGCCGGATCTGTCCGGTCGGGTCGCCCAGCGGTCGGTTGGGCTCGGTTATCGCCATCGGTCAGCTCCTGTCTCTGCTGCTCCGTCGCAGCCCGCTGTTTGGGCTTCAGCGCTCGTCTCACGTAATGTCTCGGGTAGCCATTTTCCTCGAAGACTTTTTCTAGACGTGAAATTTCCTCCTTCCGAGCGCCCTCCTCGCTGCATACTGCTTCAGCACGTTTGGCTAGACATTTGATGACACCCGTTTTTATGGAGTCTGCATGGTGAGAACTGAAGTGGATATATAAATTGGTTGCTGTAGGTTTTCTGTAAACCGTTGTTTTCAGCGCGTTTCCCGCTCTCGCCACTTCTACGTCCAAAAAGGGAATTTTCCCATCTTCTTCGACCTCTCGTGTGAATTGTATGTCCGGGCATACGTTGTTCAGATGCCTATGGAACTCGTCTAACGCGTCCGTCCCATGTTGCCAGACCACAAAAGTGTCGTCCACGTAGCGCCGCCAGTATTTTGGCTTGAGACGAGCGGTTTCAAGAAGTGTTTTCTCGAGAGTCTCCATGAAGCCGTTTGCCAGTGCGACTGATAAACTAAGGCCCATAGGGGCTCCTTCAAGCTGACTATATAGCTGGCCGCCACACTGAAAATAGCTACAGTTTAGGCACTCCTTCATCAGTGTTCTGATAGAATCGACAGACATTCCACACCTGTCTGGGAGTGTCTCGTCATTGAGAAGCTTCTCACATACGGCGTCTATGGCTTCGTCTGTTTCAAGAAAACACTTCTTGAAACCGCTCATCTCAAGCCAAAATACTGGCGGCGCTACGTGGACGACACTTTTGTGGTCTGGCAACATGGGACGGACGCGTTAGACGAGTTCCATAGGCATCTGAACAACGTATGCCCGGACATACAATTCACACGAGAGGTCGAAGAAGATGGGAAAATTCCCTTTTTGGACGTAGAAGTGGCGAGAGCGGGAAACGCGCTGAAAACAACGGTTTACAGAAAACCTACAGCAACCAATTTATATATCCACTTCAGTTCTCACCATGCAGACTCCATAAAAACAGGTGTCATCAAATGTCTAGCCAAACGTGCTGAAGCAGTATGCAGCGAGGAGGGCGCTCGGAAGGAGGAAATTTCACGTCTAGAAAAAGTCTTCGAGGAAAATGGCTACCCGAGACATTACGTGAGACGAGCGCTGAAGCCCAAACAGCGGGCTGCGACGGAGCAGCAGAGACAGGAGCTGACCGATGGCGATAACCGAGCCCAACCGACCGCTGGGCGACCCGACCGGACAGATCCGGCCGTACCGGACGACCAGACAACCGAACGACCCCGTACTATGTACATTAGCATCCCCTACGTCAAAGGAACCAGCGAAAGAATTGCTAGGATTTTAGCGCCTCACCAGATTCGGTTAGGATATAGCTCGAAGCCAACACTCAGGGACAAACTAGTTAAAGCCAAGGACGTACCACCAAAGGATTTGCAAAAAGGTGTCATTTACAAGACTACTTGTGATTGTGGTGCCACGTATGTTGGCGAGACCGGGCGTCCTAAAAGCATGCGACTTAAAGAACACGTAGCAGCCATAAGGCATGGGAGGTCAGACACATCCCCTTTAGCTGAACACTGGCTCCAGTGTCGCCAACCATTTGACCCAGGTCAGGCTAGCACGCTGGCGGTCGAGCCAACATGGTCCCGCCGTGTCGTAAGGGAGGCCATCGAGATTCGATTATGCAACCCATCACTGAATCAGGGTGTCGGAAAGTTCTCGCTTAGCCCTATATGGGATAGTGTTTTGAAAAAGTAGACCTACTGGAGTACGAACTGTCTGTAAGTTGTGTCACGTGTTTTAGCATCGATCATTTTGAGAATTTCGTGGATGGCAGTATAGCATGATTATTGTTTGTTTTTTGAATCGCATTGCCCCTTTGAAGACCTGTCAATAAAGGTCGAAGTACAGGGAAAAATAGCTTCTTTACACCCAGAGTCAGTCCGCTTAACGATTTATTATCGAGGACCATTTAGTTTATGTTATATTTGACCCGTGCGTCATTTTGTCGCCAATGCACTTGTGTGTTAATTATGTCGTTATCCGTCAGTGACTTTCGTTTGTGTGCTTACAGATATGGAAGCGAGAATGTTTATCCTACTGCCTCTTTTGCTGACATCTGCTGCGACACGTTCTTCTTCTCACGTGCCTCTACATGACGTTCGCCTTCCGACTTGTTCTGATGCTTTATCGTGTATTCTGCGCACCACACGTTGATCACACACGAGGCAATCCCAAAACACTCTGCCGCTATCCCGCGTTCAGCTGTTTCGGCAAACAGCTGACTGGGAGCAAACAGCTGACTCGAGAGTCGAGGCCACTAAATAATGGCGTATGGTACACCTCCCCCCCACGCCCACCTCCCCCCTTCAGTCGATCACGCATATGACTGCAGACAGGGGTCGACCTGGAGTCGGGAAGGAGGCCGTGTGATCCTGCCGCTGCGACGTGGAGCGGCGATAGCAGGGCGATCCGCGAACCGGACTTGCTTTGCGGGCGCGGATGGTGGAGCGGTGCGGCCTGACGTCACTGACGGCGTGGTAGCCGTTGCTGCAGTGGCTGGCGCCGTCGCTTCAGTATCGGTACGGCGTTCGCTGACGGGAACGAGTGGGCGATACGGTCGTAGGAAGCGCCGGTTCCGCCACAGTGTACGACCGCTGGCGAGCTTCACCAGGTAGGCTCTGTAGCGACCGATGGCGACGATGACGCCGGACCTGTCCCACAGGCCACTTTCGTTGTTCTGAATGGCGACATTTGAGCCAATCTTGAGAGACGGCAGGGGCCGGGCTGCTGCGTCGTAGCGTTCGCGAGCGGCTTCCCGTCGGGTGTGAGCGCGCTTGTCACACTCGTCAGCAGCCTGTTGCCATTTACAAGCGAAGGCGGAGTGGTGCATCGGCACCATGGTCCTCAGTGGGTGTCCGAAGAGTACCTCAGCGGGTGATCGACCGTCCTCCCGGGGTGTATTCCTGAGTTTAAGCATGGCCTGCGAGAACTCTTCGAGGTCGAGGCGACCGGACACGCTGCATTTTTGAACCAGCCGTTTTACGGCTTTGACCGCCGCCTCTGCATGACCGTTGGACTGCGGGTAATGTAGGGATGATATCGTGTGCGTCACGCCCCATCGCTCCAGGAAGGTGCGGGTGTGGCGGGCTGTGAACTGTGGCCCGCCGTCGGTCTTGAGTTGATTGGGGACACCGTAGACGGCGAACACCTCTCTCAAGTGGCTGACCAAGATCCTGGATGTCGGCTCACCGTCGATGGAAACGGCGATGGGCCATCCTGAGAGTCGGTCGGCGATGACAAGCCAGGACTTTCCCGCATGAGAGAAGAAGTCGGCGGACATCGTTTCGAAGACGCGAGACGGCTCTGGATCACTCAGCATCGGTTCTTTCTGCTGTGTGGGCAGGTACTTGCGACAGGCTGAGCACGCTGTGACGGTCTCGTGTACTTGCTGGTTGAGACCGGGCCAGTAGACAGATTGGCGAGCGCGTCGCTTTGTCCGTTCGATACCTTGGTGTCCGGCGTGGAGGCGTTTGAGCACGTCTCGTCTAAGGCTGCGTGGAACGAGAAGACGTGCGCCACACAGGATGATGCCGTCGTTGACGGAGAGATCTTCCTTCACCTGCCAGTAGGCTCGAAGACTGGATGGCAGGTCGGCTTTCTGGTCTGGGAAGCCGTTGAGGATCGTGTCTGCCAGTGCTTGATATTCCTCATCGCTCCTGGCAGCAGCACGGAGTTCATCCATGATCAGGTCAGGCGTGCCACCGTTTCCGTTGTGGTCCACCTCTTGGGCACTAGATAGTGCAACATTGTGGGGATGATGCCGGACTTCTGCTTCGGCTTCTTGGTCATCCTCCGTCGGGTCATCGATAGGAGCTCTGGAGAGGGCGTCTGCGATGCAGTGCATTTTGCCAGATTTCCAGACAGCCTTGAAGTGGTATGGTACCAGCTTCTCTCGAAGGCGGAGAAGACAGGGGTTCTCGATTTGGGCGAGTGACTTCTGGTTCAGCAGAGGGGTGAGAGGACGATGATCACAGATGATATCGAACTCTTTCAGTCCGGCTAGGTAGAGATAGTTCTTCTGAACTGCCTAACAGATGGCGGTCATCTCCAACTCAATAACGGCGTAGCGTGACTCTGCGTCAGAGACGATACGTGAGCCACACTGGATGAGGCGCCAGTTGCCGTCCTGGAGCTGGGGCGTTCCACGACAAATCGACAAGTGCCCTGCACCCTCATATTTTATTTTTTGCTTAAAATTGGTCTAATGGGTTGTGGTGGGCGGGGAAGCCAGCTGTGGCAAGGATTTTTTCTTCGAACAACGGTTTCCGAGATATAGCCTCGGGCAATTCCTGGATGTCGCGCTGCAGCCCTATGTTTGGCGGCCTATAACTCAAAAACTATTGGTTTTCTACGATAAAAACTTTATATGGTTCAACTCACAATCAACCAACAAACATTTTGGCTATCTCGGATTTTCAATTTTTGAAAATTTTGATCGCGTGACCTTTTGACCTATTTTTCGAAGAGTGACCTTGATATTTTCCCCACTGAAAGTTGCAACTTAATCTGATGACGAATAAAGCCTTATCAATTGTCATTTATATGCGAAAATAAGAAAGTGGATATCGCCCTGCGTTGACCTCAGGTCAGGTCATTTTTATGACCTGTCCGTTATTACGAGCGGGAGCGACAGCGAGATCTCGAGAATAAAGCAAGATAGCGACAAGCGGTAAACGGTGCAGGGTACAAATGGATAAGGTCTATAATTTTTACTCAGGTCATTTTCAGGTCAGGTCAAAGATGACGTCACAGGAGCAAAAGGAAGTCAAAATTGCGGCACCACATATATATGAAGTTTTTCTCGAATAACTTTCAAGGTATTCCAGCTAGGAACAAACTAATAGCACCATCGTGATCCTCTCGGCGATCCGCATCGAAACATATGTATGTTGACCTCGAAAGGTCGAAAGGTCAAAAGTTGACCTAAGGTCACGTGACCTAAGGCTCTGAAGAAGCGCGTACGACAGGCCATGCAGTCGTGTGGCGTCGGTGTGAAGGGCTGTTGGCAGGCCGGGCTTGAAGAACGCCAGGACCGGTGGTGACACAAGTGTCGCTTTGACGGCTTCAAAAGCCTGTTGGTGGACGCTGGTCCAGCACCAGTGGTTCTGGGGCCGGAGGAGGTCGCGCAGCGGGCTGGCAGCGCTCGCTGTGTCTGTTGAGAATGAGGCTAGCTGGTTGACGAGCCCCATGAAGCTGCGAAGATCGGTGAGGTTCTGTGGTACTGGGAAGTCGGAAATTGCGCGAAGTTTGCGCCGGTCCACGGTGTATCCATCTTTGCTGATGTTGAATCCGCAGTACTCGACTGTTGACTGAGCGAACTGAAGTTTCGTTGGGTTCAGAGTGATGTTGTGCTCCTTGCACCGCTCCAGAACAGTGATGACGTGCTTCAGATGGGATGCGTACGTGTCATCGTGACACAGGATATCGTCCGTCACCTTGCAAGTCCTGGGTATTCCAGCGAGTGCGACATCACCTCGGCGGTTGAACTCATCTCCAGATGAGCTGAGGCCTTGGACACATCTCTCGAAGCGGAATCTGCCCCACGGGGTGATGAACGTGGTCAGATCCTTCGACTCATCGGCGAGCGGTACTTGGAAGTAGCCGTTCTTCGCATCAAACTTACTGAAGAACTTGCTGCTCTTGTCGATGCTGGCGACTACTTCATTGCATGACGGTGGAGGATGAGCGCCACGCCGGACGTGCCTGTTCAACATCGTCAGGTCGACGCAGATCCTGACATCTGATTTGTCCTTGTTGCTGCCTTCTGCGGGTTTTTTGGGTACCACGACCAGAGGGTGGCACCACTCTGTCGGGTGTGTGACCTCAGATGATACCATCACGGAGGAGCTTGTCCAGCTGATCCTTGGTCTTTTCTCTCCAGGCGAACGGGATGGAGCGGGCAGCGGTGATGGCGTAGGGCTGGGCGTCATCGTTTAACACGATCTTCATTGGCCCGCCGATCATCTCCCGAAGTGGGCGGTTGATGTCGAACACCTCGACGAAGGCGTCCCTTAACATGCTGAGGTGCTGTTGCTTGACGTCCTCAGATGGTTCGCCTTGCGCTTCGTGCCAGGTCGGGTACTTGGCTTGAGTCGGCTTGCAAGAGGCTTGTGACAACCGTTCGCTCTGTGCTGATAGGCTGCTGTCGTCTTGATCTGATGAAGCAAGCTGGTGGACGTGTGATCCGGTTGATTCTGCGCTTCTGTCGTCTTCCATGCGATGCGTTGCATCTGTGCGGCTGATTTGCTTCGGGAAGTCGAGCGGCAGAATACCGAGTTCGACACACCGGGTCCACGACAGCAGAGCACCAGTGATGTGGGGGATGACGCAGACGGTGACGACCGATGTGGTCTCCTCACCCAGTCTGAGTGTGCACTGGAACGTTCCTCTGCAATCCAGTTTTTTCCCCAGCTGCTCCGAGCAGCTGATCTGGTGGCGGCGAGAGGCTGCTTACGTCGACGCCATATGCTACGGGCCTGTTGGACACTCATAGCGCAGACCTCTGCACCGCTGTCGGGTATCCATGGGATGACAGCATGTCCACGGGCGTGTTGTACTTCGAGGTCGACTTTCGGCGTCCGTCGCGCTGATAGACCTCGCACGTGGATGCCGTGCAAGTGACGTAGATGCCTTCTCCGTGGTGGTGACACCTCTCGCTGTGTGGTAGGCTCATGCACAGGCGGTTGCTGACGATCTGGTTGCCTGTTTTCATGCTGTCCAGAGCGTGATGTCCGAATCTGGTCACTTCTGCATACGTGGGAGAATGATGTAGTTTGTTGCACTTTGAGCACCGATGGTTACGGGCAGGACACATGGCCAGCTGCTGATGCCATTCGTCTCCGCAGAAACGGCATCGTCTCTCCGGCGTTGTGTCTCGGATCCGGGCCGAACCCACTGGGTCGGCTCCACTGCCGCGGCCCTCTGGTTCAGCTCGGCGGCTGCGGCTCGCTGACCTGGCGCAGCTGTAGCTCCGTGCGCCACGCCGGTAGGCTGACACGGCGTTGAGACGATCACCGGCGAGTGCTGAGGCGTTAACAAACGCGTTCTCACGCGCGCGGCAGATGTCGACGGTCTTCTGCAACGTGAGGTCCTTCTCCGAGAGCAGGGTTTGAACGGCCGTTTCGTCGTGCAGACCTGTGATGATGCGATCACGGAGTCGGTCTTCAGTGCAGTGTCGACAAAAGTCGCAAAACTCTGATATCTCCTTCAGCGCGATGAGGTAGTCGTCGAAGGACTCATCCGGCTGCTGGTTGCGACGGAAAAAGTCGCGTCTGTCCAGGATGACATTGCGCTGGCTCCTCAGGTGGTCTTCCATCGCTCGGATGGTGTCGTTTAGACTGGCTGTCTCTGTGATGTTGAGGCCGAATTTGATGATCCGGTGCCATTCGTCGTCAACCAGGCTGTAAAGTGATGCTCGCTGTTCCTCTTGCGTGAGCTGGTTGACTCCTGTCAGCATGTTGTAACCGGTGAGTCGCTCTTTCCAAGTGCAGAATTCACGGAGGCTGGCACCGCCAGAAAGACGCGGTGCTGGGGTTGCAAATGCCGGAAGCCGAGGACGAATGGTCGGAGTAACATCATTACCATTGTCGGCCGAAGCGGTGAGAGCGGTAGCTTGCGAAGCAGCAAGTGCTTCCAGACGTTCCTCCCGCCGATTAGAAGTCTCCGCTTGTTGGCGAATTAACTCCGTCAGGCTGACCAGGGCAGAAGCGAATTCCTCCATCATGCTGGCGAAAAACAGCGCGGGGCTGCCGGGATTTGAACCCGGGACACACGACTTCGAAACCGTGCGGCTCAGACCACTCGGCCACCGAGACCCCGATGCGCTGATGTGATCCGAGGTGTAACCAGCTCAGCGACGAACAGTCAAGCCGGTGGCGCGCGGCGGTCTTGAAAGCTAGCTGTGCCACGCCGCGACGGATCGAATCGAATCGTGAAGCACTCACTATTCGCCTCGAGACAGCGAAGTGGGTGACATCTGGTGGCAGGAATTTGCATAGGAGGAAGAGTGATGCCGAGCGGCGACGCGCGCGCAGTTACACGGCGAGAGTACGGTGGAGGGGAGGAGTGTGGGAACTTTAGGTTGTAAGGGGTTGATTACTAAGTTTACATAGCAGATATGATATGGTCTATAATGCCTCAAAGTGTCAGACTCTTCGAAGGTACCTACCAAGCAAATGATGTCCGATAGGCCCATCTTCACGCTTGGTGGTACTAAGCTGGAGAACACCAACGAACAAAGAGCCTAGGTGTTATTGTTGACGCCTCGTTGGATTTCAACGAATTTATTAACCCTCGCCCGTTAGTTAAGGGGTCCGTTCGATCTACCCCCGTAGGGAAGGGGGGGGGGGTCGAACGAACCCCCTCTCAGTTTCCCGCGAAATACTCGCGCAAAAAGCGGTCGATCGCGACGAAACTTCAGTACCCTCGCGTTAATCAATTTTACACCTATCTTGAAAGTTTCATGACTGATCCAAACGACCTTTGACCTGTGACCTACTTTTCGAGACCACGTTTGGCCGGAATCGCGATTCGGCGAATGTCAGCTCGCATTAGCCGCGCGTTTGCAGTCTTTTCGTGGTTTCAAGCGTTCAGCCATGTGATATGATGTTGGTCCCATGCATTAGGGTGGCTGTCAAGGTCACCTGAAGGTCAGGTCAGGTCACTGACCTTTGATGACCTCGGTTCACTTTTTCGAGTTTTACATGCTTCTAAGCTAGTTTTTGGAGCTGAATTCGAATATAGCAACCATATGAACATTTGCGACATGGGTGTAGAAACGTTTTCAAAGTTGGTGTGGAGTTTAAGTTGGTGGAGACTTTTTTTCTCTTTCTAGTTACATACTCTGTGGTATAACCCTAGTGTTGTATGCCACTGACTAGAATTAATGACAATGAACTACCATTGTTATATGACAAGGTATTTCATCCATTCCAAGATACTGATACTAATCTTGATCATGATGTTAGTAACGAATTCGAATCTATACGAACCAACTGTAAATATTACACTGTCACAACAAATAACAACACCTTTTCTCAAGACATTGAGAAACTTTCTATATTGCACCTCAATACTCGTTCTCTTTTAAGTGTTGAGAAATATGAAGCCCTGAATACCTTTCTGCATTCAACTGGTACACAATGGGACGTGATCTGTGTATCCGAAACATGGTTACACGATGATGTTGATAAATATCGCAACATACCTGGCTATACAGCATTCTTTCAAAATCGCACAGGTCGCACAGGTGGTGGCGTAGCTGTATATGTTCGTACAGCCAGTGTAGTTTCTACCATGCGTGTTCCCATTGACTGTCCAACTGGTACGGAAGCAGTAATTCTGCAGTGCTGTCTACCTTATTCTAAGGTAATTCTTGCACAGTTCTACAGACCCCCTGATACTTGTCCAGCTCTTTTTTGTGAACAGCTGTCAACTATACTCGACTCCATGGATATCTCATCCAGCACAATGATCGTCACTGGTGATTTCAGTTTTGACCTTTGCACGCTGGACAATGATCATGATGCGGAGATATTCTTTAATATGATGTTGTCCTATGGCTTTCTTCCTCTTATATCCCTCCCAACCAGACAATGTGAAACAAGACTATCTCTGCTAGACAACATATATTGTAACAACACATCACTTGCTAACGACACTGGAGTAATTTACGATGACCTATCTGACCACTTCCCAATATATGTCACCCTAAAAACATATAAACCAAGAAATACGAGACCGAAGAAACAAATCACATCATTTAATTATAACAGAATCACTGACCTACGAATGCATCTACAATCTGATTTACTACATCTCACTGATGTAACTGATCCTAACTTAGTTTGTGAAAAAATAATTCGAGCCTACTCAGATGGAATACAAAAGTTCAGCGCAACTTTTGTGCCGTCGCGGAAAAATACGCCTATAAAACCCTGGATCACGCCTGGTATCTTGGCCTCGATAGCCAGGAAAAATGAATTGTTTGTGTCAAAAAACAAAGAGCCGGTGCTTGAAAATACCAACAAGTATCGCAGATATCGCAATTTACTTGTGAAAATAATAAGAGAGGCAAAGAAAGCATATATTGAAGCTAAACTTAAAACATCGGACTCTAAGAACACGTGGAATATCATCAAAGAATTGTCCACGGGCTCCACCGAAAACATTAAATTGCCTAATGCGTTCAAAACCAACAGAGGCGTGGTGCAAGACACTAAAGACATAGTTGATAAGTTTAACACATTTTTCACGAACATTGGAAAGGAGCTGAAAAGTAAAATAAGAGATACTGAATGCAACCCAATTGATAACCTCCCTAACTTTGTGGGAATACCACTTCATCGATTCTCTCCCACGAACGAAGATGAAGTAAAGAAGATCGTAAACAATATGCGTAATGTGGGAAGTGGCCATGACAACATTAATACTAAGATATTCAAATTAACGTATGCATCAATACTTACTGAGATTGTACACTTCGTGAATCTCTGCCTTGATCAAGGTGTGTTCCCCACTCTATTAAAAAGGGCTGTTGTAAAACCAATCTTTAAGTCTGGGGATAAACAGTTATTCAACAATTACCGACCAATTTCGCTACTCCCGGTTATCTCGAAATTATTAGAAAAAGTGATTTATGCTCGATTAAGTGAACATTTGACTCAAAATAACATCATTTGCGACAATCAATTTGGTTTTAGGCAAGGTATGAGTA